CTGGCCCGACCCGGCTCGGGTACGCGTCTTCCTGCTCTCTCGCCGTCCTCAGGCCAGAGGGGCTGGTGCTGCGCCGGGGTTCGGCCCGGCCCGGCCCTGCGCAATGCTTCCCATCGGTCGTGCTTCGCCCCGCTTTCGCAGAGAAAAAGAGCGCTTCCTTTTTCTCCCACTTCGCTTTCGCACTTGGTTGACACCTGTGTTTCTTGTAAAGTGCACACTCACACGCCGATTTTAGGCATTTTATTAGTCACTAAAAATTATGTTTAAGTCAGAAATACGTAGATGGTATGGCATAAGCTGTTCTGCTATTGCCTGTATTAGTGCTACATTCATTCTAAGTAGGCTGCAGAGCTCATCTTCAGAGTGATAGAAATGCTCAGATACTTAGTCCATGGTCTTGAGTCCTGGCTGGTAATCCCCATCCAAGTTGTCAATCATGTCGTGGGGGCATAGCTGGCAGTGAAGTTCAGAGAGTTCCTAATTATTTTCCACACCTCAGGGAGAGCAGGAGCTTAGGAAAGCATTTTCAGAGGGAATAATCCGTGCTATCCATGTGGCTTGCTCACTCAATCATTACCAGAAGCAGTATAAGCTATTGGTGAGTTGCTCTTCTGTTTAAGTTTTATCCTCAGTCTCAGTTTTATTGTGACATAAGGGTTGCTGGAGAACACCTGTTTATGGAAAAACGAAAACAAACTTGTTCTTTATCTAAATAGCTTTTCTTTTTTGATGCTGGAACTAGCATTCCACCTCAATGAACCCAGAGCAACGCTCAGCAGCTTTTCATGAATCTTCCTGTTGATCGGCCAAGTGTTGCAGCACCCTGGGGCTTGGCCTTGCTCAGTCACAATACTGGTTTGGTGGTAGGGGCAAAAATTAAGACACATGTCTAATCTGTAGCCTTTCTATAGTTTTAAATCTACATCTGTGCATTATCTGGCTGATGCAGAGTAGAATTACAGCACTCCATGACATCATCCTTGATGGTGGTAGCTGACCTACTTAAAATGGATTTTGTTTGCTACCGCTCAGTGTTGGTCAGGTAGAATGAAGCTTTAGTAGCAATGACAAGTTTCTTTATTCTCTAATTGTTTAAAATCATGGTAGTGTTCAGGAGTGACCAAGAGACATAGACCAAGATCAGAGCTTACTGGAGATTTTTTTAGACATTTCTGGTCCCACTGCTGTATTACTCAGACACCCCATGGAGCTGCTTACACTGGACCAAGCAAAGAATCATTACTTTTAAGGACAGTGTCTCCAGATAGACAGTTACTTGTGCATAGGGTTGAACTGCCATTCATAGCCTTTGAAGCCAAATAACTGCTGATTTACAGAAAGTGCTTTTTTTGCATAGTGGTGCCCAGAGATTTTGCTGGATTTTCAGAACAGTGGCAGAGTATCTGGATATCTGGAAGAGTGATCAAGAGGTCTCTTTGAGAAGCACTTTTAGCATAGCACCAGAATATTACCAGGGTTTCTTTTAAATGATTTTGTGTGCTTGATGCACAGCTAATACAGCATTGTATAAATACTTGTTGTAAAAGTAGTTCCATAAGAGACTCTGTCGGTATTTGAAAGTGTAGATTTAATTGCTCTAAACTACAAATATATTGGAGAAAAAATGGAGAAAAGTAGAGAAAACAGCGAAGACCCTCTTGAAACAAACAAAGGCAGTAGAAGAAAGGTATGAGTGCATTTCATTATGCTGTTTCTTCTCTCAACTTCTGCTTATGTCTTTTATGGTGTAACAGGAACTTAGCACCTTTCTTGCGTTCAAATATGTGAGGGCTTCATGAGCTCAAATAACAAAGAAAAAAAAGTGCCTTCTTGGTTGAAAAATCACTGCCACATTATACTATAAAATAGAAAATACTCAGGTCCATGAACACTTTTGTAATGAAACCAGTACTCTGGTAATTTTGGGATGACCTGATATGCTAATGCCTTAGAAAATTGTGCAAATGGAGTTCTCCTTTCAGGGAACTAATTGAAATTTTGGCAATTTCAAGAAACCAAAAGCTTCCACAACCAGGAGAGGAGAGCCAGGTAAGATGACTTTCTGAATTGTGTTTCTTTGGGTAAGCATGATGCTTTATTTCTATTTTTTTTCCCATTCTTTTGTTTGTTCTTACTTTCTCCCTTTGTCCTTACCTATATTCAAGCTAATGGTCATGATGGGGCTTTAGCCCTTCTACAAAGGCATTATTGGCTCTCCTGTTGTTTATTCATTTTTTATGTGCTTCATAGGCTGTTTCTGTAAACAGAAAGAAATTTTGTTTCATTTTTCATTCAAACAAAAATACTCCTATGCATGCCCTTTGCTCTTCTTTATAGCATGACTGAGGGAGTGTTGTTACTCTAGCCAAATTAAAAGTTCTACAAAACTGTTGTTCAATAGATCCTGGAACTGCTGATTCAGAGAGATGGAGAGTTTCAAGAGCTAATGAAGTTGGCAGTTGATCAGGGAAAAATCCATCATGAAATGCAGCTTTTAGAAAAGGTAGTAGAAAAGCGGGATAATGATATTCAGCAGCTGCAGAAACAGCTAAAAGAAGCAGAGCACATACTGGTAAGTTCATAATGATGTGTTTGCTTTTGAGCATCTTCTTGTAGAAAAGGTGGTTTTGGGCAAAGTGGTGTTGTGTTAGTTTGAGAGGATTTAGATACTTAAAACTTCATAAGAGTTTAGTAATTTGGGTTTTTTCCTCAGTAGTCAAACAGTGTATGCTTATCATGGTATTAAGGTTTTTTTTATAATGCTAATTTTCTTCTAAACCTACTTTATTTCTGTGTATTTTGGAAATGTTCACGGAAGTTTTGCTTTTAAAATGCAATTAAATGACAGGGTTTATTCACAGAGCTGATTTTATGTAGACATTTGTAAATTAAAGATGCATTGAAGATTTGGTTTACTTCATGGGTTTTTATTTTTTATAACTAGGCAACAGCTGTTTATCAAGCAAAGGAAAAACTGAAATCAATTGAAAAAGCACGGAAAGGTGAGTATCCATGATTGTATATACTGCATAAATGCAATTCTAAACAAAGTTGTTAGTGGGCTCAAATTGGGCCTTTTAAATTATTTTAGTTCTGCTATCACAGATTTCAGATGCTTTGTGTGTAAACAATTTTTCATCTCATTATGAAACTAACCATTTCCTCAGAGCAAAGGCAGAATTGAATTATTTTTTTTTGTGCAAACTTATTTTAATATGAAAGTCTCAGCAGTCTTCTTGGACTGATAATAGTATATCTGATTCCCTAAGTGCCTTACCGAATTGCCTTAGGAGGTTTGCCAAGGAAAGGAAGAGAATGTTTGTGTGTACACGCACTGTATTTGAAGGACTGACTCTAGGTGTTGATACTAGATTGTAATTGTAGCGATTTCTGCCATTCTGTGGCACTTACCAACTTAAGCTAACTTTTTTTTTTTTGTGTGGGGGAGGGGACTGAGGCACCTTCTTCAGGTTGTTTTATTTTGGTTTTTTTACAGTGTCTTTTATCATTTTGTTATGTGTCTTTCACCTAGAAAATCAAGGAATTTAATAAAGTTTCTATTCCTCTAGTACAGGCACATGTTTGGAATGACTCCTCTGGGTACATAATTACTAAAAGAGCAAAAAAAAAAATTCTTTGCTAAAAAAAATTTATGTAGTAAAACAGGAGCTGAATTACAAATTCTTTTTGTGCTTGTCAAGTACACTTGTTTAAGAGACTGTGTTTTTCACAAGGTTGGAGGACCATTGATATTGAAGGTATTTTGCACTCGCTTGTGTGTTAAATCAGTTCACTGGAAAGCTCATCTTTGCATATTCTGAGAATCTTCTAAACAGTCATTGCATTTGAACCAGGCTCTTAATGTTTGGCAAAATCACATTCCCAGTCTTTTAGATATTGGTGGTCAGTACTCTGAAGTAATTAAATGACACAATCTCTTGAGAATGCAGCAACATTTTTTTCCATTCTTCCAGGTGCCATTTCCTCTGAAGAAATAATTAAATATGCCCACAGGATCAGTGCTAGCAATGCTGTGTGTGCCCCTCTGACATGGGTACCAGGTAACTATTGTGTTTCTGACAGTAGATTTTTTTCATAATAAATAATGGTTAATATCTGGTCATACAATATTTATATATGGCAATAACCACTGGGGTTTATTAGAGTAACATTGTTTTCAGCTTCTATATCTAATATTTCAGTAAGAATGGATATCCAAAGTCCTATGGACTTCACATACATCTCCAAAAGGTTATGACACTGCCTGCTTTTATTAACAGACTGGACTCCTCTGTTCTCCTTTGTTTGCCTTTTGCCCCTGAATGTTTACCTTGATTAAAAGTCAAAGCCAAGTATGCTAAAGGCTTTTCTGTGTGTTTGGTTGTGTTCCCTCTTGCCCCTTAAAATATTCTTTCAGAGAATGTTCGTAAACAGTGGAGTCAGAAGCAGAACTTTTACTATGACATGTTTCAATTTTGGATACTACCCTCTTTGTCCAAAATGAAAAGGTGTTTGATCCAATTCCTGTCCTTGCTGTTTAGCTGTGAAGTAGCAGGGAGAGCAAAGGTATAAACAAAAACTTTTTTTTTTGTTTTGGTTGCTTTGGGTTGCTTGGCTGTTTTTTAATACGCTTTTTTCTGCCAAGTTTGAATGAACAATGAAAGTCTAAGTGAAAAATAGACTTGGATTTTAATAAAACATGTGTGATGCTCATTGCTCATCCAGGCATCCTGGAGTATGGGGTTTTTTGGTCATTAAACTAGGCTCTGAAGCTAAAGCTAGTGTCTGCAAGACAAGTGTTAAATATTTCAAAGCATTCTTTTTTTTCTTAAAGGGGACCCACGTAGGCCATATCCTACAGATCTGGAGATGAGAAGTGGTCTCTTGGGTCAGATGAACAACCCATCCACCAATGGAGTCAATGGACACTTACCAGGGGACGCACTTGCAGCAGGCAGACTGCCAGGTAAGTGAAACTCACTTTTGTTTTGTTTTTCTTTACTGCTTATAGATTCACAGCAGTTACACATTTCCCCTAGCAAAGGCAAATCAGAGGTAAAGCAATGAAAACTTGTATTTGTGGTTAATGTTGTTCCCTAGCAGTGAAGACCTAGTAAAGAAAGGTAATTAGAAATTGCATATTTTTTTTTATTTCATGCTAAACTGCAGACACTACAGCTAAGTCAATACAAAAAAACCCTTATATATATAAATGAAGGTATAAAATAACCTTTGTATATTCTAAATAAATAATTAAGTGATTTCCATACATATTAGAAAAAAACCCTTTCAGAGCAGCATTTGCTTAATGGTGATGACAAAGCATGGAACTGTGAAAGATGTATTTGGAAGAAAGGTGGTTTATTGTCATTCCCTACCTTCCTTTGAGTCTGTGCTTAGAAGTTGTGGATTTAAAAGATGTGGCAGCAGACAACTGCTAGATAGTACATTTGAGTGTAGGAATCAAGCTTCAATCCCTTAATTGCTCTGTGGAATGGGCACTTCCATTGACTTCAGTGGGATTCATTCCTTCATCAAAAATTGAATTCAGCAATAAATTACAGTAATTGAATCAAGAGTTCTGTTGCTCTGTACCTGTGCAGCATTGATCTACCATTGTGAGATTGAAGGGTGAAAAAAGTCTTAGTTTGGCTTCATAGGAGATCTGTAACAATTCTTACATATCTATTAAGCCACTATCAGGCATTATGGAAAGCTTGTTTTTAAAAATCATGCTGAATTTGTTATAAAACCCCTCTTGCAAGTCCATTGAAGAAATAGTAAATTTGGATTTTGTGTTTCGGATCACCTGTCTAATCCTGTTGTCACATCTTAAGAAGTGATTTGAAATTCTGCATCATTTCACTTTGTAAATCTCTGGCCTCAGATAAAATGGGTCAGTGAGCTGAATGGGCGTAGGACCCCGCCATCTGCCCATAGCAACCCACCAGGGAAATGCCGAGGATTGGCCCAAGTATCTTCTCTGTTCTTTTGAAATATGGTCAGAGGAAATGCTAAGGTTGTGACTTCCTAATGGAGTTTGAGCATTTATTTCTAGATGTTTTGGTAAAGCCCATTCTGGCTGGCTGCTTTGCCTTAGAGGATGCAGACTTGATCCATTAACTTTTGAGTGCTGTCTCTATAAGAACTGAAAGGAATTTTCAGGAATTTCAGGAATTTTCCATGAGAAGCTGGAAAATGTGGAATTTAAACTCCTCCAGTAAAGCTCTTAATTGAGTCTTGGGCTCCTCTGTCAGGTTGAGCCCTCGTAACTAGACTGTCGAGGTTAGGGGAAACACTGATTTACAAGAAAGTTTAAGCTGCCTGAGTGTTTTGTGTAGGGATGCTGAATCTGTTGGTGCATGGAGGCATGTCCTGAGAATGCTAATTATGGGATGTAGTTCTTTTGGAGAGTCCTACAGAGATGTCCAGTTACTGAGTTCTTAGTGAATATACAGACCAGTTGCTGGACTGCTTGGTAGCCTGCAAACTTTGAGGTTAGTTAGCACACACATTTAGCCTGGTTTAATAGCAGGCTGGTTCTAGCACTGAAGCATGGCCACAGAATGTAAAACACCAGCTTCCATTCTGAGCTCATTCAGATGAAGGCTTTTCAGGTATGCTTGGATAAAGCCTTTTTCTCTGAATTTTTGTGGCCTGCCTGATTTTTTTTAATGTTTTAATCTATTTTTGCACACTGACAGACTGTTATAATTTTCATTAATCGCAGTAGTTGTGAATGCTGAATCAGTTTAAGCTCTGCTTTGAAGATGCAAAGCTTTGTATTAAGCATATGAGTTATCAAGAGCCACCTAGATAAATGGGCCACTCTGGTAGAGCAGACTTTTACAGTTACAGAATTGCTCCATCATGAGATGTTTTCTGGCTGTTACTAGAGGGTTTAATCTGTCCAAAATTCAGAAAGGATTTCAAGATTTGTTTTGATTTGAAATTGAAGTTCTGGTTGAGCTGTCTTGTTGAATTTGTCACTACACAAAATTGAAAGTTTTCTTGATTATGCCTCTTTTTTTCCAGATGTGCTTGCTCCTCAGTATCCTTGGCAGTCAAGTGATATGTCAATGAACATGCTACCTCCTAATCATAGTAATGACTTCATGCTGGAGCCTCCAGGACACAATAAAGAGAATGAAGATGATGTAGAAGTTATGTCAACAGACTCCTCAAGCAGCAGCAGTGACTCAGACTAGGTACAAGGGGGTATCCCTAGTAGACCTTTCCTGTGGCGAAGGTAGGTTAGATGATGTTTGTCACAAACTGCAATATCCTTTTGTTACACCAGCAGCCCTGTGTAGGGAGAAGATAACAGCTGGCTCAGAGATAGGGTGACTAATTTAAAACCATGGACTGTAGCCTTGGTTTTTTTTCCTATTAGATGTTCTACAAGCTGGGAGAAATGTCTGGGAGCTGTCTGCTGGGGGAGAGATGTCAGATTTTCAGTGATTGTGTAAATGTATGTTTGCAAGAGATGTGTAAATATATATTTATATATATGTATTTACTATACATTAGATGACATAAGTTCCTGGGAAAAAACGGTGTAAGGGGAATCCCCTTGTATGTTTGTTAGTAACTTTACTCTTTTGATGATAGCCTTTTCTATGCCACGGAAATGAAACATGAAGTTTGTAATTTTAGTATCTTTTTTTGTTACTGCCTAAATCCATGTTCTTGGTCATCTGTGTATCAAGAACAAAAATATGGCAATAAGGTGTAATAAAAGAGTTTGTAATTATTGTAATATATTACAAATGATTTGTCATAAATAAACTCAGCTTTGATCTAACTTCAGTTTTTCAAACTTGAATCTTAGATGACTTGCCATGTAACTTCAGTACTCAGCACATTTTATCCCAGTATGTGGTTGAATTCTGATTGCGTTTCAGAAGTTTGTACTCCATTTTCCCCTATGCCAAATGCCCAGTAAGCATTAGAAGCAGCTGAGGAGGAGTCAGAAGTGGAAAGCCTGTCCTTCCTTTACGGGTGAGCCCTTCCAGGTACACGCAGTGCTGGGCAGACTCTGAGGCAGCGAGTGCCCACCCACAAGACTGCCCCAAATATTTGATTAAGTGTCCTGGGACCCTGGAGGTGACACACTTCAGGGCATGCTGCAGGTTTAGCTCCTTTCCGATCAAAGTGCTCAAGGATTTTTTTGTTCTTGTCATCTATAATTTTTTCAATCCTTTGAACCTTCTAATTTGTTTACTTTGGCAGTTGCATTTCCTGCATCAGCTGCAATTTTATTTTGTCTTTCCAAAGGCACTTCCCTTGGCTTTCCTCTCCTGTTTTGCTTAAGGACTCATTTTATGACAGCTGCTTTTCTCTTACGTAATCCTCTGATAAAATTTCAAAACTCTTGTGAACTGTTGCTCCTGGCAGTTAATTTTCTGTCCTGCAGCACAGATCACATTTCTCTTCCTTTTTCCATTTTGTAGATTCCTCACAGGAAGAATCTGATGAATCAGGTAATTCCTCCTTTGCTCAAGTAATCTTTCAAACATTGCTGCCAGTAATGTTGCCACCTGTGACTGATATGCACAAATCCCATAAGGATGTAGAAGGGAGAAGGACTTCAGTCACATTCATTCACATAACATGGGGCAGTGGGTTTTGTTTTCAGAGAAGTGGGGAATTTGGTTTTGTCTCAGCTGTTTCTTTTAGAAGTATTTTCAGAGTTATTAAACCGTCTCCTCTTTCAGAGTCTAAAGTTATTAATGTACATACATATTGTAACTTTTATTCAATATCATGGTTTCCTCTTGGGTGCTTATCTCCAACGTCTTTAACTCACATTAATCTCAATACATGTGCCCTGTCTCAGTCATCCTAGTTAACCTTGCCTACCCTTTTTCTAGTTCACATTAGTTTTTGTCTTAAAACATGTGTGATCAGAATTGTACACAATATTGCAAAATGGAGTTTCTTAATGCTTTTTATAATGGGATTGGTATTTTCTTTCTAAATGGCCCTCTCTAAACACATCACACAGACAAAGTTTACCAGTCTCTTTTATCTTCTAACTTAGGACATTGTTGAAACAAAATACAAAAATATATAATTAATATTCATGGGAAGTGTAGTGTTACAGTCTACCCAAAACTCTTCTATGGCTGTATCATGTAATTCACCAGCTGAAATATTGTGTAGGTGGGTGATTGTTTCCAGACATAAGAGGGCACTGAAACAATGACCATTTATTTTTCTGTTAGTTTTCTTGTTAGATACTCTATTAAAGGATTAAATGGGACCAGTGTATTATATCTAAGAAATAGGTAAGGCAATAGCTCTGCCCACTGTTCACTTAGCATAAAATCAAACTTTAGGTGATAGATGCATCCTAATCAGTTTCCTTGCATCAGTGCTCCAAACTATGTACAGTTCAGGAGTATGTTCCTCAATGCTGACTAACTATAATGCCATTTTAGGTGAGTTCTCTCAGTTACAAGCAGTTTAGTGAACCATGATATGGTAACCAAGTGTTCTGTTATGCAGTGGCTTAGATATGTACACAATAGATTTTCCCATTAAGCAGAAGTACCAAAAATCAAAGTAAAGATTTAGTTGAAAGGATTGAATCTTGGCAGCTAAAATTGACTGAGAACCACGTTTCCTGGAAGGGTGGGAAATAGAACTGTGTGATACATACAAACAAAGTTATTTAAGTTGGGGATTGCTGACAGCTGGTTGCTGCACTGTAGTCTTTTAATCAGTCCATTTAGAAAGGATACAGAAATGCTGACATATGGAGATACTGTTTGTGTCCTCATTTCAGCGTCTTCTTGTCTATTTACAAGAGATAGTCTGAATATAACCATTAACAAAATATGCCAAGAAAGTATTTATTGCATGACAGACCATTTTACAGCGGTCCCTGTTCTCTCATCAGGACTTAGATGCTTTCTAAAATTTAAAATTGTACTAATTAATTAAAATTCTTTTTCTTCATTATTCTTTGTGACAGATGGGCAGGACATCTGTCAACTCTTCCTACAGTTTCTTTGTTGACAGCTGAATGGAATAATTTTCAGTGTACATAAGGTTGCTTTCAGGAAGCAAATCTCCACTTTTGAATAGAAAAATAAGCTTTTTTCAAAGGAACAGTAGCAGTGGAATTTTTGGTGATATTTCCCGTTTCAAGACTGCTGTGCAATGTTACTTCTTTCTTCACTAAGAGAATGGGTGTCTGTCCTAAGGGAAGTTGCACATAATTAATACTTCAAACTCTAAGCAGGAAGAGTGCCAGGGGCAGTAGCATCCTTATGCCTCATCATTCTGTTTCTCAGCAAGAGCCATCTCCATTTAAAAAAATTAATGTACAAAGTAAGGAAGAGCTTTAAACTCCTCAAGCTGATTTATTTTAAGAACTGAGAAGTCAATTCATAATTTCAGGTGATTTTAATCTCTCAGTATTATGCCTGTGTTTTATTCAAAATAAATTAAAGATATCTTACAACATTTTTGTACAATGAGTATATCTAAAGGAAATAGACAAGAGATGTGCTATAAAAGAAGTCTGACAAGAAAAAAATGAGCCAATTAGCAATTTCTTTAAAAGTTACATCCTAAAATTAATTGCTGATTATCTTGGTGACAACAGCTGGAAAATAATCAAAATTGGTTACAGATTCTAGAAAAATTAAAAATATTAACTCCTTGGTTTTGTATGTACTATTGGGTACTGTAATTTCATTCACTAATAGCTCAGTCATTTAATTGGTCAAACTGAAAATTCCTATTTTACCAAATTTCAATAGTCAGCCATAGGGAACTACACCCATCTGTGCTGTTTAATACTGACAACTCTTTAGCCACAAAGTAGGATTTCTGCAATGGAGCTACACCTATAAATTAAATTTGTGTTAGCCTAGTAGAGTAGGCATCTCTCCATTCCAGGAGTTCAGTAACAAATTCAGATCAATTGCAGAGATCTGAGGCATTTCTGCAGATAAATTCAGTGTAACTATTGTCTATTAAATATAACTTTTGTTCATGACAGTGGCTTCATAACTGCGGCTAAAAGACAAAGCTAAGTTTTAAAATTGGTCCAATAATTACAGGAAAGCAGGTTTAAACAAGTAAGTTTTGCTGCAACTGCTTTTAAGTGAATAAGCTTCCCTGGCTAGTCCTGACTTCCAAATGGCTGTTCATCAATATAAATATTAACTAGATAAAACACTGAGTTTTCTGTAAAAGTAAATGTTAATTGTTAACTACTAAACCTAGAAATGGGTCTGGAATGAGAGAAAACTCTCATGTGAAATATGGGAAAAGCACTGAAACAGTTGGCATGTTCTTTGGAAAATATTTTCACATGGGCAGGGTGTGCACTTTGTATCTTTTTTACTTCTACATCAAATAAAAGCAGGTCTGTCCTTTAGTTTGTGACATAACATACAATTTGTTTTTTACTCTAATTGGTGACTTCCCGTGTACCCCTTCAGATGATCGAGTTCTTCTGTAAAGGGGTTATAACCTTGCTCTCTTAAACAGCGTAAGGCCCAGAACAGTTGATCTGCTGGAGGAAATTCATCCCATTTCACCCATTCCCAGCCTGTAGGGGGAAAAAAAAAAAAAAAAAAAAAAAAAAAAAAAAAAAAAAAAAAAAGAGGAAGAAAAATCAGTATAGAGTTAAGATGGGATCAAAGGAAACAGCGTGAAGCTGTGAGAGGGGAGGTTTAGGCTGGATGTTAGGATAAGTTGGTGGGGCACTGGAATAGACTCCATAGTGTAGCCTGACAGAGCTCAAGCAGTGTTTGGACAACCACAGGTACAATGTGGGATTGCTGGGGCTGTCAGGAATGGGATTTAATGATGCTTGGGGGTCCCTTCCAATCCAAGTTTCCCAGAGAAGCTGTGGCTGTCCCCTCCCTGGGAGTGTTCCGGGCCAGGCTGGATGGAGCTCGGAACCACCTGATCTAGTGAGAGGTGTCTCTGCCCGTGGCACGGGGCTTGGAACTGGATGACTACTGACCCTCGTTCTTG